GATTTTGGTGAAAACTGTTTTAAAGAGAATATAGCAGGAACCATTTTGTCATGCACTAGAGCTTTCCCATTATATATCAGAAATATACCTCTCGGTAGGATTAAAACTAGAGAGAAGAATAAATTATGTCAGAAATATCTTTCTCATCTATTGCATTTTCCTTCTAAGTTAAAGTATCATTTCTATCTTTTTTCTGTTAATAAATACAACGGAATACAGCAATAAACCAATAGAAGATTTTAACATTATTTTTATTCCATTTCCTAGTTGCCTCCACGGCGTCAATATTTTTCATAAATATGAAGGACATGATTATATAAGTAAACTAACAGTAAAAAACGAATAACCTTACTAGCAGCACAGATGAAGGAAATCTGAGGTGCTCATTATTTGCAACATGAGCTAAAAAATTGACCTTTACATTTCGATATCCATTATCACTTCTATAACGCAATTGGTAAACTTCTATAGCATATGTATGTCCGTCAATAGCGTAAATACAATTTAATAAATCTATTACTGAAGAGATATTGCTGTAATAAAGCTCTATTTCTAGCCCTACTCTGAACTACTCATTCAATAATTTGTCTGACGGATCTTGCGGTTAAATATAATTTAATACTTACAAATTATTGTTAAATATTACAGTAGTAAAACTTAGACCACGTAAACTACATACAGCTAGATATCGAGGAGTCTTGCATTCTTGCATTCTCACTTAAGGGTCTAGCTATTGTCTTCAAAATTATACATTAGCAGCACTCGACTGTCCTAAATCATAAATGTAATATCCTTGACACCGTTGATTCACTAAGATCTAGCGCCGCCATCGTACTCATGATTATCGATTCGTGGTATCAACGTTGCCTACTTTCCTACTATCGTATTAACGGTAAAGGATCCGCTACCATTGGTAATATGCTCTCAAAGCTGCGAGGATATACCCATAATAATTAACGTTGCCGGCATGCAGCAGGCAATAGAGATCGAAATAAAATGCATAGTCTTTAAAATATTTAAATATACACTTCGAATTAAAATCACGAAATTACTGTTAACGCAGTTATAAATTTGTAGCGTATTCGTAGGTATGCTTGAAATAGCAGAAACCATTACTCAGTCAATTGTCTTTGTCTAAATTCTATACATACATAGGGATTTCACCTGACCTAATAAAGTGAAACTGTAAGTATATCTATATATAGCTATCAATAAATACATCATATAACTAAAATAGGGATTAAAAGTATGGAGAGCAACAGATTAACCCTTTAAATATGATAAGGGCTGCGATGCAGATACGTAGTCATCTAAATACGCCTACAATCATACCCTAGACTAGCATTAAATTTCTCAATTTAGAATATGTAGATATATAAAAAATTTAGTGTTGTACTTTATATCTACAGTACTGGTGTGCAAAGTAGCTTTTTCTATGTTTTACAACCTAGCATATTGCAGCATAACAAATATGACAACCGCATGCAATAGTAATTAACTCAAAATCTACAGATACATTACGCAACATCAATTGCTAACTGTCATTGTGCTATTTAAGTATTGAATAGTAGTTATGTATTCATAATCAATTAATGGTCAAGATGATGAAGATTAAGATTTTGCATTGACGTCATCAACCTCAGGAAATAGTGATCAGTTCAATGCATAATATGCCAATAAAGCCAAGAACAGGATATGAACTAATATACCGGCGACATCCGGTCTATGATAACGACTTGCACCCTGCAAATGTACATGACGTAAACATTACGTGAACATCAGCAGAATTGAATCCAATTCTTAATTACTGGTTAAATATCATATTTCTATCTAATTTCGTCTAAAGCTATGCTCTTATTTGTTGATAGAAATCTGAACCAATTATAGACCACGTTTTTCGGATAGTAGGATAAGTATCAACTGATTGTCGATTGCGTCTCAGATTAATTCTAGACTAAAGCATTGATACCTCAATAGCAAGACGGAAATTGAGATTTAGGGTTTGGACTGTAAACAGCATCGTAAAGAAATTTAATTAATTTTCGATCAAAGTCCCATCTATCCTGCACTATACCGTAATAGCAAACCATATGACAGGATATGATTAATGCGATCGAACAATTTGTATGCAGTAGATCACATACTCACTGTATACACGGGTATGATTTTGACAATGGCTAATCTCATACTGTAAATATTATTATGAACCTACAATCACAAATAGACAGTTCAAATTAAGCATTTTTAATTTGGAATAGACTGCATCATTGTAAATTAAAATTTTAACAGATTACTAGTTAGTAAACCAGTTGAAACTAATATATGCAAAAAGTATAGATCTACATATCATTTCATTAGATCCATGCGTAGTTCACAGATAGTCTCTCACATGACGGTAAAGTAGACTATCAAGCACGTTAACGAATTTAATTATGTCATATTGATTAACGCGAAATATTGAAATGACAGAAGAGAACAATAAAATAAAAGTACGAATTCTGAATAGTAAATTAATTAATTGACTTTTATAGTATTTACTATTTCAAAAAATGAAAAAATGTTATGAATGTAATTTGCGTATCCGCCCCTAATGCTGACCAATGCACCGTACATGTGTGAACATGCAGAATTGCAGATGAATCTTAGAGACATTCTTAACACAATCAAAATATTAAATGATTTAACACCTTATATTTTATTAGCTTTGTAAGAAATTTAGGTTAGTTAAAGGTAGTAATTTTAAAAGCGACGCCAATTATTTTACATTTATAATGTTTATAAGTGTACGTATCGATCTTTATTATGCCGCAAATGTCATTGATACTATTGCCAAAAAACAATACCTTACCTAGTTCTAAGAACCGGATTAACGTCATGATATATGGCAGAATATATTAAGATCTATCCCTAATCTATAATGACTGTACTCATGATTTTTCATAAGTCAAATTCTGAAATTATAAGCAAGCAATAAATTAATATAAATGTGTTTTAAAAAAATGACTGAAATATACCAAGTTATAGATTTAATATTAAACAGCTAAAATTTGCTTTATCATATTATAGAACCTATAGGTTTAATAAGCCAAGCCATACAATAATCGTGAAGAAGTCAGTTCTTAGTTTACTCGCTTAAGCATAGCAGAGAAAGTATGAATGAAAATTACACGTAGTAATATTTATCAAGTCTTCTACAGACAATTAGACGATATTGTAAGGCAGTCACAGTTTACTTGCTAAAGTTAACTTCGTTAATTACGGCATTTTATATAAAGCAATCATATGTCTGAAATTCTTGCATTATCATATTTACTTTATTTAATAGTAATTTTATAGTTAGAATTCTGTGATGAATAGTATATCATGCGAGGCCACAAGCTGAGACAATCATTTTGAGTCCTTAAAATATGATCTGATAACGAGATTTCAGAATAGAATATTTGGCGAGATGATCAATCGTAAAATTATCATAATGAATCTTGGTTACAAAAATGAAAGTATGCATTTATCTTCTATAGTTTTATTAATGCCTTAACAGATCTAAACGAAAATTATTCTAATCAATCAAGATTGCCAAAAAATTCTGCCAAATTTTTATGAGGTCACTATTGTTTGTCTTTCTACCGTATCATATTGTGGTATCTGTTTGCTTAAATTTTTATGTCTTTAACACTGTAAGTATATATACAATACCGGATATTATACAGGTATACATCTATAGATATGGATATAGGTGTAAGGTAGGTGGATATTCAAATATAATGAAAGCAGGAAATTTTAAGATCACGAAATGAAATGAATGCAAGCTTTTAATTTTTATCCAGACAATCTTTTATCTACAGAAAATCGACGCATTAAAAAGACTAATATAAGTCTTTCAGAATGAAATATAATTTTTATCGACTTTTACTAGCTAATTAGCCATACAACAAATGGTGATATAATATAGATTCAATTTAAATAATATAGTCAGAGTAGTATTCAATAACTTTAGGCAATTGAAGTATTAAAAATGATTAGGTAGTGTAAAGTTTAACTTCTTTACGCCATTATTAGTGGAAAGTATATGAAATGACTTTATCAATCTGGCTATTATTATTACATACGCTGTTTAATATATCAATATGATCGAAATTCATTTCGAAATTTGTATGATATATATATAATACATAAGATACATTGCAAGTAGATGAATCATAATGAATATTAATCTTATAACATTAAATAGCCTTTAATGAACAGATCAATTAATAAAATTTTTTACATTTGTTGTATTACATCGTAAATTGGTTTCAAAATTTTAGTTACAGATACTTCCATAAACTAATTATTTATTAAAAGCACACAGGCGACCTTTTGAGCGGATAAATCTTATTGGAAGAATTAAATCATTTGTTAAATTATCAATCAATCATGCTTTGAGTTGTTATCGCTACCCAAGAAATACCAGGAATATTTCAAATTGTAGCAATCACACAGTGATATTATTTCTACCTGAATTCATTAAACTCAGCATTTTTAACGTAATTGGTAGCTTGTGATTCGAATTCATAGGCTATTATTTACATTAACAACGGATATGATTAGTCTGGTCTATTAAATTGATAGCTTAATAAGGAAGAAAAATGAATTTCATGCATTTAGATAGAACGCCAGTATTATAATTTGTATGTGACTGAGTTCTTATTAATTTAAAACAGAATTATTTTAATATTCAATCACGTACGAATAAGGGCGCAAAGAAAGTGAGAGAGAGATAAATTATATACTGTTTAATTATACGCTGACTATTGGATATAATGTAATGAATGCTCATCTTCAATCAACGGAGATCTAAGAAAAAATAAAAAATTATTGATTAGCTGGAGGAAGTTTAGAAATATGCACTGAGATAGCAATATACTTATTTATTGCAAAAAATGAATAAATAGCAACTTAATATTAGTAACTCACCGTAGTACTGTAGTATAGATTTAATAGGTTCATGCTTTAGCACGCAATTAAATTATAGGTAATAGTGAACAGTCAGAAAACTGTGAGGTATTAGTAATTTCTTCATTTTCTACATTGACTATTCCATTTGATTGATTATTAACGTTTGTTTCATTTACAGAGCGAGGACCAGGTTCAGGTGTATAAGTAAAATTAAATCCAGTGGTATATGTCACGCCATCTGAACGTACTAAGGTTACTGGTACCTTGGTTGGTTGTCTTACAAATTGCCAACCGCCATGGAATGAACCAATATCAGGTACAATGCAATGATACTTTCTTCACATCTACATATAAAGTATCATAGAAAAGAAAATTTTATTTATCTCTTCTTTAAAATCATGAATAATATCTTTTTTGTTAACTACAGACAATTAATAACCAAAATATTGTACAGACCAATATTCAGGTTTAAGACATGATTAACTAGTATCAATTGATGGAAAATATCTTGTTGTAATTTTTACCATAATTGACACAACATTATTCAATCTAAAAGCGCTTAGTAGCATAATACGTAACAATTGTAATATGATGCGTATCTGAAAGTGTATAATTTATATGCTATCTTATCAGTGGTAGCCAGTCGTATTTAGATTCTTAATACTGAAATTGTCTTTATTCTATTCTATAATATATATAAATTTAATCTTGCTATAGTAACGCTGTATGCTCGAGATCAATGTACAGACCAAAAATACGTTCTGCTATGCAAAATTAAAAGCGAAATGTTGTCCGAGTTTGGTGGTGGTATTAAATATTGAAAAATATATCATGAAGCTATGTGCTATTAATCTACTAGCAAAGCAAGAGCCTTAAAATTTGCAACTTGACATTTAGTAAGTATAAAATAGAATGCTTCCTGTTAATCAATTTGACTTCCATCTAATAACTGATTTATAAAATCGTATCGATAGCAAACTATATCTTATTTAGCGTAAAATAACATAATAATATGACAGAAATTACTGTTATCAATTCTAACCTGTACATAGTTTCTGATTCAACATCTCCAAACCAGACTTTAAGATTGTCAGAAAAGTTACTGCCGGTTAATTCTAATGATGCTCCATTACCACCACCTATAACTTGTAATGAGTGAACAACAGGAACAGGTGTAACTGGAGAATCGATGGGTCCTAATGCTTCGTAAAACTTATACTCCGCTTCATCTGTACTAATAATAGTCCATGAAGCGCCATCATTAATCATTTCTCGATTGGGCTCGCGAGGGCAGGGTGTAGCTTGAAATTGGATAATCCGTTCCTGTGATAAGCATAGATACATTCTTTCTGTATCTTTCATATAGAATGCAACTTTATGTAATTGCGATACAGGATCATCAGCGTCTAATAATGCAGTTTGTTTATCTACTTTGCGGATTACTAATCTAGGCAATGCTAAACCAGTCACAGTACAAACTAATTTAACTGTCGATCCATACTGGATATAGCCTTCACGAGTAGTAAATTCTACACCTTCGTCCTCATTGCTATCCAATAGATGGATCGTAAAAGAGCCCCATTGTTGGCTACTTGCGTGAAAGACATCATTATCAACATGTAAGTAACGGGTACTGACAGTTTGTGATCGAAGGCGGTTGAATAAAGCAACTTGAGAGCCCGATGGTATGCATACTGGAAAAAGAAATAGAATTTTATAAGTGTTACCATAACCATAATATCTATACGACACTATTATGTCCATAGCCAAGATATTAGCTATTAGCTGATTAGTTGCAAGAAGTTCTCTAAATTATACATGTATTTGTATTTTTTGCTAATACTATCGACTGATATCATCGTTTCATAGTGATAGGTATTTATTTTTTAATTGGCCATGTATCAACTTGAAATATTTATAGTCATTCATTGATATTTAACAAAATATTTCTCTATGTGCATTTATATTCATATCTTATCTACCAGTTAGCGTAAACTGTAATTTACATTAATCAATTCTTAAAGTGAACTCTTTTAGTTTTAGCATATTTTGTATCATAGTCGTTAAGGTAAAATTTTTTAAATTAGGTTAGATGTAATTAATTGGCTGAATAAACACTGTAATTATTTGATGCTATAATGTTATACTATATTTCTGATAAAAAATTATTGCAATTTGAATAGCGCCAAATAATTGAATAGCAATAGAATAATTTGCTCAACAGCTAATAGTGATATCGATATGTTTAAATTCTATATTTGACTTCAAAATGATTGTAAAATAATATTTAAATCAGATTTATTATGGATTCCATGCTACAATCGCTGTTATAAATAAGATTAGCTCCGTCGATATAAATATATATCAAGCGCGTATGTCCTATCATACTTGCTAGTTGAATGGCATATTTAAATAATGACCTAGAACTACAAGAACATGCACAGAAATGGCTGAAAATTAAGAGAATAATCCTACTTAGCTACTTACAATCAACATTTTTCAGTGACTGCTTCTTCTTAGATGGTTTAGATATAACTTTGATCCTTTTAGAATTAAAAATTCCTATGTCACGTATAATTTGATTATTATCCATATTATACAATTTGACAGATAGTTGAAAATGCTTTCGTTTATCTTGATCAGAGATATAAAGAGCTTTAGCTGCGCCGTAGCCGTTTTCTTCAATAGACAAAGGTTGCATTTCTTGATCACTATTCCCGATACCGATAAATGCTCGTAGGTGAGTGGAATCATTGTGTCCATTGACTGAATTATTTTGGCAATTTGTTTTTATATAACGACGATTTAATTTCCAGCGATCTCCTTTTAGATAGACACAAGGTGGCGGGCAAAAAAATCGTTTCTCGTTACCGTACGATTTTTGTGCAACTTTAGCATGGAGTATAACAATACTTTGATAACATCTTCCAGCAAGGTATTTTCTCATAATTTCTGATGTCAAGACTGATCTATTAAGGCATTTTTCTTTTATTAATCGAGTAGTTTCCTGATCAGGATCAGATGATAACTTGCTATTATTGCCCATTATAGTGGCAGAATGAGCAACTGTCATGCTGCCGTGGCAATCTAAAAATTGACAAAAACTAATGAATCAATAATTTAATACAATCTAGATTTTATAAGCAGAATAGAACAATGTTTTTAAAATAATACTTATCAATCAAATAATATTTTTTTATTCTATTTAAAATAATACCATATTACTATTATGTAAAACGTAAGTATCTATCATGATGTACGATATCAATGGATATCCTCGGATCAAGCTAATGTCAATCGTTGAGGAGGAGTATTAATATATTTTTGTACAATATAGACATAATAAATAGATATTTTTATCGTAAACCTGCTAATTTACATTCAATACTATAATGTAGAAGTTGAAATCAACTCTTCTTTTTAATTATAATAGTTTTATTACTTTCAATTCTTTAAATTTGAATCAAACTGGTAAATGTACTATATTAAATAATGGTATAAGTAGGAAAAATATTCCAATTGCTATTCTTTTCTTGCTATAATATCAAACTTTCAGCCTGGGAATGAACCGCTGCAATTAATTTTTTTATTGTTCCATTCTAGAACAATCTATAATGTTTGCAACACTGACTTTTATATTTCATTTTTTATTGATATCATTTAAAACAATGCTTTAGATCTATCTTGTTGATTTCAATGATTGCTGACACGTTTATGAAGTTAATAATCAGAAATATTAAGTAAGAGATGTTGTTTATTAAATTATCTATTCTATTACAATCTAATTTGATGCCTAATTTCAATTTAAATATTAACTGTATTGATCTTTTTTTCGTTCGATATTATTACGAAGGAAACATATTTGGTCAGCGTGTATTATTCATTTCTGAACCTTCAATTGGCCAAAATATGAAATTTATTCTTCAAGTAATCTCAAATAGAAAAATAAGCATGGTATGTTTGAGGGTGCATGATTCACGCACGTACTTTATGTATAGGGGCTTAAAATAATCATAAATTTGTTGATATTTTTCTGACAATTAACGAAGACATTCTCGTCTAAATTTAAAAACGTGACTTACCTCGATGATCCATATTTCGCCCAATATCATTAATACCATTATATTCTGAAGCTGATTTAACATGGTCATGTCCTGCTGTTTTAGTGCTGATATTGTGAATGCCATGAGTTGTTGTCAAATTAGTATTGCCAAGTGGATAAGGTGGCGGTGGTAATCGATGTATACTATTGGTTAAATTGACATGATTGTTCCCGTTATGGTTATTTGTTTGATCAGCGTTGATTTCATTAGCAACTTTACTGGTACTATTATTCAAAAAGAATAATGAATTTGACGTTGAAGGATTAATTCCACCTCCAGTATTCCCAGATGTAGGACCAAATGAAATATTGGGATACATTCTAGTTGATGTTCCAAGCGGATTAAGTATCATATCACGCGGTAGATTCATGCCTCGCTATAAGTAAAATATTTAATTGGCATATTGTAAATAATTAAAAATTTAATAAATGAGTACGATATTGAACATGATTGCTACTTTAGCTTTCTAAATTGTTTTTCATACAATAATTCAATAATAAAAAAATAGTCATATTTATTCTAAGGTGGATGACAATGGGCTACCGTCGCTATACCCCTAATAATCTATAATTAGGAGGTACTGTATTTGTAATTATGATGATACTGATGTAGATCACAAATAAAAAGTAACTGATCATTGATCACTATAAACAATACCGGCACTAGCAAAATATATATTGATTAAATAGTAGTAATAATTATGTTTTGCTCATTAATGTAAATATCGGTAACAAAAAAGCTATCCAATTAGGAAATATCAACAACGTAAGGTTGATTTGAGCTCATTTAATACAAATTGTTATCGCTGGTTAACAAGCCTGTATTAAAATTGCTTTTTCGTGTTATGCATAACATGTAAAATATGGTTTGGGAAATAAAGAAAATATTTAACTTTCTATTACTCCAAACATAAGAATTTTTGGATCTATGTCTGGTATCGTGGTTTTGTTAGTAGCGCTTTAAATTGGAGTTACGTGAATAGTATTACAAGATCATAAAGTAGAAGTCACTTTTAATCAAAGTTCGCATAATGCAATATTGAAGCAAACTGCATTATAATACTTTTCAATGGCGCATACTTGACATAATGTCAAAAAGATTGCTTGACTTGAATCATTAGAGTTGCACAGTTAAATTAATTGACCACTTTTGAAGACAATAATTTATAGACATACATGAAATGCATATATTTTAACACATGAGTGTGATTGAATAATTTTGACGGCAGTAGAATCAAGTATTTGCATTAAAGCTATTTAAATTCTGTTCCTTACTCTTGAATGCCTTAGGTTCGTAGGTTATTACATTACTATTAGCTTCATGTTATTTATCATATGTAAAGTGTTAAATATAGGTCGAATAATAAATGCGGCTAATAAGCAAATCGAAAATTGATTGAACTGTGTTACCATTACAATAAATTGACGAATTACATTAATTCATTTCAAGATACTTGAAGAAGGTTATATAATTAATGAGCTGTTTAGATCTAATATTATAGCCGCTACGTATCTGTTAGTATTAGCAATGATCGGTCCAACCATAAGCTTCTGTAATATTAGTAATCCGTGTTATTTAGCTAGCATCATTATTATTGATCACTTGATTGATTGGCTAGGCGAGTAAAGTTAAAGTCTACTGAATTGGGTGGACTATTTGGAAAAGTTTCGTACTTTAATAATTATGCTAGTCAACTAGTGGAGTATTATTTCGACTAAGAGACGGCACGCATTGACTGCAATAAGAATTGTCTTATAAAAAATCTCGAACTATAGTCATTTTCAATGTTTACTATAAAACCGCCGTTCTTACTGTTAATATTTTAGGCAAATATATTAATAGTAATTTTTAAAAGTTAATTGTTATTAGTTAAAATTGTCCTTATACTTAAGTTTCAAAGGTATTCATGAATGATTTCGATAGTGCTAATAACAAAAAAATCTCAAATAGCAATACTCTTCGAATTGTTATTTTGGGCTATGATTAAGTACTACCGTAATAACAAAATATTAGTCAAGCCAATTAATATCCGTAAAATACTATTCGAAAGTTACTATATTGCTAAATTAATAACATGATATATAATCATAATTTATCAATAAGATCATCCGCGGCACTGTACCATAGTTAATTGTGTGGTTATCTAGAACATCAATATTAATCTCGGATGTTGATTTTCAATTTTTTTCTATGCTAATACTGATTGCTTGCATATTATAACTCTAAATTGAACTTACATCATTTGAATAGAGAGGATACTGATCAACGCAGTCATTGAAAGCGCTATAGTCACGTCTAAGCTGGTTACCAGCTGATGGCATCATCGACGTCTCGGTTACATCAAGTGGATGATATGGCATCCCTAGATTCGGACGATAATTAACCATAGATCCGCACGGAAACTCATTTTCATCGCTGTGGCGGCGCTTTCTTGCTTGTCCATTAGCTAAATTGGATGTTAATGGAGTTATTCTAGTTTGCATGACGCCCGTAAAAGGTAAGGCCGACGAGTTAACGTAGTAAGAAGTAGCAACTTGAGACGAATCCAGTTTGAATCAATCTTAAATTCAGGTCGAGATAAGATAATTAGAAAAATGCAATGACTGAACTTAGAACTTGTCTAAATGGATAATATTATAATCGGTTGGAACTATTTAAAGCAATCGATAGGCCTATTACATTTCAATATTTAATATTCTACATTAAATAGAAAAAGCTCTTTATTTGTTATTGTCCAATTTATTGTGGAAGTGGTCTCGACTTCTCGTCTAGTCTGTAGTGGACAGGATATGGCATCAAGATGTGACAAAAAAGAACAAAAATTAACGATAACGAAACCTTTAAAACTATTCGAATGGAAAGAACAGTAACTAAGCAACACTGCCGCCGATGCAATCGTTGAATTTAGTTGATTAATCTCTCCTCAGTCGTCGATATTGTCAATTGCTCGACTGTTTAATAGGTTTCATTTTATTGATATACAACAGTTGTCCGTCAGATTGATTAGTATAATACAGCAGATAAAAAGGAACAAGATGAAATTAATATAAATACTTTCGTCCATCATCGGATAGTACCAATAGCATTTATTATATCTAGAATGATGTAAATACGCTTACTATTGTAAAAAAATTCTCTCACTTTGTATTCCAACGACAGTCATCGTCTCACTTTCAATCTACATAGCTATCCATGAATACGTTGTAAACTATCAATGTAAGCATCGATTTTTATTGATGTAAGCTAAATTCAAATTTGCCAACAATAGAGTTAATAAATACGTCGAAAAAAATAAGGATAAGCGTGTTTCTTAACTAATAGATTAAAAAATGATTTTTTAATCCTTTGGCAAATAAATATTAACGTATTTGAAAATTGATTAATAAAAAAATATACGTAAGCTATGACGACAAGCACCGCCTGTCAGGATAAGAGTAAATGTCAAATCGAATATGGATTATTTTATAACTAGTCATGATAGAATTATCATATTGACTTGATGCAACTTTAAAAGCAATTCGATTGGATTGTAATTGCTCTGTACGAATGAAATAGACGTTGGTCCATATTTGTCTGGAGGGTATAGAACATGGTTGTCAAAATAAAATTAGCATATCAAAATTATTTTTTTCTAATGTGTTTATTTTTCTAACCACAATATAGAAAATTGAAATTAAAGTAGAACAATTTATAACATCGATCGCATTGAAATCATCCCAGTGAGATGATAGATTACCGGTAACTATGAATTGATATCAAGTTTAGCGGATATGATGTAAATTTGAATGTCTTGAATGTCTATGATCTTATTTTCAATTATCATCGAAGATAGAGTAAGAGATATCACTCCACGTCGATTGGAAAGAAAACGATTGATTGAGTAGGCCAATTCAATATTACAATTTGTATGAACATGATAATCCTTGCCAACACATTGAGTTAATTAATTAGTCAGTAATCAAATTGATGTTGTTTTTACTAGCAGTAAGTCTAAATATAAGATCGAAATTGACATTTTATCTCTATTCTTTATTATAGCTATTTTTATTTTTATATCTAAACCAATGAGGAAATAAACTGTTTTAATCCTATTTAAATTAATAGAACAGATAGAAAAAAAGATGTCTATGATCAAGGCGGTGAACAATATACAACATAGCAAGCATTGATAACATGCTATTCAAGTTATGATAGGGTTGTATCGCAGAAGTTGATCAATATTTTGTAAATTGTCTTATTGGCTTTCAACGCTATCGACTTTTGCCATCTTGACATAGCCATTATGATGTTATATAACATTGTAGAAGTTATAATATAATTATTGCCCAAAGGGATAATTTTAATCAAAGTCAATTAGAGTAAGAGAAGAAGGAAAAACTCAAATAACCAGTTCAATTTTTTTTGGAAGCAGTTTATCTTATTAGTCCGTTTTTACTTTAATGTTAATTAAGACATTATCAAATCAGTTTTATGACGAGATAATAGCAGTAAATGATTACTTCTATTTTAAATTCTATATGACATTAAAAAGTTACAGTCGATGTCTACTCAAGTAGTGGATAGGAGAAGAGTATATGAGGAAAAACTTGACTTCCATCGTTCTATTTGGCGATATCGACATGGACTAAATCTATCGAATTGTCTACTCTTTCAACTGATTGAAGTGAGAAAATGATAATTTTATAGTATGAATATAAAATGATGCTAAACAACATGGATATTAAATAGTAGCGGTTAAAAAATAATTTTCAATGACCTTAATTTAATTATCTCTTAGACTATGGTCGTTACCCTCGTTCAAGTCAATCATACGTTAATCGAATGAGCGCTAGACGGTACTATCGTATCGTCTAGGAAATAGCAACGGCCCCAAGTATGCACTATGGACTTAATGATGGCCTACAATCTATTTATCCTAGCTTATCATCAATCTATGCTATCCTCCATTTCCGTACTCTTCTCTCTCCATGATAAATTGTTCAAATAAGGGAATATTAGCTCTACGTTTCCTTACCTTATCGATGAAGAATAGTGATGTAATCAATATCCAAGATGAGTCAATGATAGCGAGGGTCGAACTAATTCTTCATCAGGTGTAATGTTGGAATATATATATATGTATTTTATCTATATAGCTCAATCAAATGGAATGCTCGAAAAAGCAAATGATGCGTACTATTGCAATCACTCTACTGTTATACACCATGGATAAAGTTGAACTAAATGAAAAGAATAGAAAATATTGACTATATAAAATGGATACAATGTTGATGGATTTTGCTGCCGATGTCCATTTGTATATTAATTTGTTGTAATGGACCGTGGGAACGACAACGTCTGACGCTAGCTTGATTTGAATGCCAACTCCTATTGTAAGCCAATCATAGACTTGGCCACGCCTCACGTGGTCATAAATCACAAGTTATTCTTGACTGACAATGACAGTCGATTCCTTAATTAAAATACAGTCTCAATCAATGAATGATGATGGCGTAATATCAAATATTAAAACAACTGATGGATTTGAATTCTTTCTATTCAATCCAGAAAGATTTTGATTGAATAGGTAGTAAGTAAGGAGGAAAACAGACAGGAGAAGTTGCAAAGTCGAAATCAATGGAAAGGGTGTTTAGGTAGAGAGAGAGAGAGAGCACGATACTGTAAATCACTTGATAGTCACTTCATGATAGTTTACAGCGGGGTGTAAAGTACATACTTGGATGAAGTAGAAATCACATTTTAGTTACTTCATCTTAGTCAATCAAGGTACATCGAGTGACAGTAGAGAGATTGATGGCAATGAAACACTAGGAATGGATTGAGAATGCTGGAAGAATGCATAAATCATCGATCATTTCAAAACGATAGGGTACGGTATGCTACGAATTGGGTGATCATTGCAGACTTGGTCGCTGATATTCTACCCCTACCATAATAAAAGTAACCATGGATGTTATAATAGTGTGTACTATAGACGGCATCAAATTATAGAGAAAATAAATAACGAAGCAAATCGATCTAAAGGAGCTTAGAGAAATGAGCTAAACCAATTTTTCAACTCTGAAAACTCCATATCGATCAGAGTTATACTCTACTTAAATACCATGCATTCAATTGTTGCAAAATTGAACTAGTCCACTTAATGAGTGGCAATGACTATGGGAGGCGTAGATAAGATTGCACAAGATAATATTCATCATGCTAATGAAGTAGCACCTCTTGTTAGGCCACTTTCTGACATTAAATGAGTGGCATTGATTCGTCAAAGGTAATAAGCGAGTGATGAAGGAAACAGAACAACACTTGCATGTTATTAGCATTAAATTCAAGCAGCAGAAGCTTCGATTGCAGCTTAGATCACCACAATTAGTTGCAAGTAATATATTGATCAAACTGTATAGTAATGTTGATATTATGGAATATTTTAAAATGGTCAATGATCAAATTAAAATATATTTTGCGTAATATTCCCAGTTTTGACGCTATTGTGCTGATATTCGAGTCTACTATCACTGACTATACATTTTTTAAATATCATTATTGACAATAACATAATCACCTGACTAAGGTCATTAAATGTGACTTACGAAAATGGTAAAAAAATTAAGCACTCAATGATATTATAGTTCAATAATCATTGTTTATGAATCAATCGATTGATTTTGCCGTCGATCCTAAATTAAAAAAAGCCTCAAATAAAAAATAAAGATAGTCACATATAGGCCATCTAGTTAAAGATTATGAGCTACTGCTATTTAGCGCATCTCCATCAATTCCTGCAAACGAAATGCTATCGCATCAATTCATCAAACTTCGTTAGGAAGACTTTCGATAGAGGGTATTAATGTTGTTTACATAGTCAATCATTGAGATACTGATTACTTAATCATGTGCTAGAATTTCATTTAGCATCCAATCCCATAGTATTCGTAGTAATTTAATAAAATACGCATAACCTACTATTGGGTATCATATGCTATCTTCAGAAGGCTAACTATTATATCATTTTATTATATATTATTGCAATAACATCCTCAAAAATCAATAATATCAAAACAACATTGTAACTACTTTTTCCGCAAGCAATAGACAATTATCAATCTACAGTAGGCAACAACAAAGCCATAATTTCTTTCCGTAATTACTCTTGCAGTAATATTCCCACAGTACAATATACTTTCTATTTACTACTGTATAAAGCCAAATTGTACTTCAGTTCCATAAAAATGAGCTAAGGATCCATTCTTCCGCCTTTTAGAATAAGCATCTTCTCCCATATCTTCTCCCATTGCGAGCATCGACCTACGTATTTATTTAATGAAATCCTATTGCTTGGTTCCATCCTCCATCTGTCCAACTATCCGTAACATAACGGTTTTTTCGCCGTTTTTACGGACGTTTTTGTTTACTTTAGATTTATGTCTGCTGATTGAAATAAAGGATAGATCAACTCTAACATGGAATCTAATATTTCCTTATATGA